ATTTAAAAAATTACACTTGAATTCAAAACAACTCGCAGAAAATTACAGGGAATTTTTAGTTTACATTTAACTTCATGAATTTTATAATAAATTAAATTATGGAAATGTCGCATTGGTGCCTTTTATGCGAAAAAGTGATGAATTAAATAAAATAGCTTTACATGCGTATTTTGGTACGCAGATAATTTGCAGAAAATTTGGAACTTTATATTTGTTTATTATTTATATGGTTTTTGTTAGATAATGCGTTGTACTTTTATAAAAAAAATTAGCGAAAAAAATTTCAAATTTATTTTCAAGCGCTACTGTTGATACGTCAAATTCGCTTGAATGTATTTGTCATATATATTCACAGATCCTAATACATTAAAAACCTGCGCATGCGCAAAACGTACATTTGGCTCAAATCTATCTTCCTTTGAATGCTGAATCCAAACACATTGCGCAGATAGGTTACTGCCAATATAGAGGATTTTCATTTTGAGGAATTTCCTCTCGATATATTTGCAGATAACAAATGCAACCATTTTTTACAAAACAGAGTTGTTAAATCGTTTCGGAAATTTTTGAACAAAAAGCTTTCCGAAGTTTTATAAAGAGCGAAATACACCACACAAGCGGCTTGTCAAACATAATTCAGACCTACTTTTCCCATTTCACCATACACCATGCAACACGACTCGTTCAAGCAAATAATTTTAGTTTTCTTCCGGTTCACAATGTAAAATAGTTTGCTTTCCTTCGACTATTCTCTCTTGCGTCCTCATTCGGTAAAAATTCCGTTGCGAATGAGGCGATTTTACCATACTTAACGTAATCGGTTTGATCAAACGTCAACATGGTGGCCATAAAATCAAAAAATTTTGATTTTTGTTCACATTTCCCTCAAACGGCTTGTCAATCCTTCAAACACCCCCGTACACAACATAAATAGTTTTAAGTAAAGGGATATTTCGCTTGGTTTGTCAAGCCGCTTGTGTGGTGTTTTTTGCTCTTAAGCACATCTGCATTTGGTGCTAAATATTTAAAATGTTATCGATAATTTTTTTCATTCCATCGTTATATTTTCAACTTATTTTGAACTTGCAATATCTCTATAACGAATGGAGAGAACACGCATTCTTCGATCATAAGAATATTCATATTGATTCTTCATCAGATCCAGAAATTTATAGGAAAAAAGGTTTTGAATTAAAAGATTCTTCAGGATCATATGTTTGCCAATTAAAAAAAAATTATATCTGCATTACTAATATAGCTCTTTTCTAATGCTTCAATAGAACGCATGTGTAGTTTAAAAATGACCAGATTGACAACTGGTATAGTTGTAGCAATATTAAATACAAAGCAATACATAAAAAATAACGTTGATATTTTGTTTGAGCCGCAAGAACAAATGTACCAATCTAATTGGAGAATGTAATTAATTTTTATACTAAGTACCTGTAAATATCTGTAATAAGAAAATTTTGAGTAATTTGTTCGTATTTTGATTGTTTTTGAGGAATGTGATAATTTGTGGCAACACTGATATGAAGTAAAGGTAAGGTGGGCAGGCTAGTATAACATCAACGCCAAACTCATGAGATAAAAAGCAGTTATTGAAAAAGGGGGCGTGGCACCTCCCATATAAACTGCATTTCTCACACTAGAATGTGTATATAGAAAAAACACCCTGTCTCAGAATTTGTTTGAAGAACGCCCTATTTTATCTGAAAATGTATTGTAAATGAACTGAGATGATGAATTTAAAATAACACAATTTTGTAAAGAAATTTCGTTATTTTATATTTAAACAACCTGATAAATTTTAAAATTGATTGGTGAAACCGAGCACTAGATATTTAAAGAAATAACACACAAGCTAATTGTAGAAAAACTCGAGCAAAGTTCAAACTGTCAGCGTATATGAAATAAACTCTAATGGTCCCGTCAGAATGGGTACTTTGCGTATGTTCCGCTCAAGGATGAAACTGACAGTTGAGTAGATTGTGTGTGTGTGTTGCATAAAGAGCGTCAGATTGGCAACCCTTGCGTCAACGGACCCAACGGACGTTGGCCAACACTAAACTTTTGACGCACGTAAGTCCGTCACTGCTGAAAGTTGTATAACCCCGCGTTTACACAAGACAGACCAATGAGAATATGCAAAAATTTACACATTGCTTGAGTAAAGTAGGCATCCAGACAATAAACTGTCTTCGAAAAGCCAGAAACAGTGATGAAGACATCAAGAAAAGTGGGTATATATTAATAAAAAAAAGTTAGTGTTTTGCTATTGTATCTGAAAGATTGACTTGTGTAAACCCCAAGTACGTGGCCATAAGGAACAGTTGATTTTTGTTTCCAGACGCAACACCTTCATTGTGGCGTGTCTCTACGGTACGTACTTTCTTCGCATACTTTTCCTTTATTAACGTACCAGTACCCATTCTGACGGGCCCATAAAGCTTACTTGTGGAACGCGTATGTGTAACTCGCAGTGACTTCGAGTAGCTTGTGGAACAAACGTAATTATTGGAAGGGGAGAAAAAAATTTAAATTTCGTAGGCCTGTGTAATAAACAGTGTTGCCAGAACTTTTTGGGCCGACCGGCTAGATTGGCAAAAAAAAACGCCTAAAATGTTTAGTGAAATTTCACATAGACTCTGGCAAAAAACGGCTAAAATGTTTTAGTGGAATTTCACATGCTTTATTTAAATAAATCGCAAGAAACGAAAGACTAGTTAACACCATTAATTTATATCGAGTGTATATTCCTCATCATCAAATGAATCACTGTTGTATATATCACCTGAATTCATTAATTTTAAGAGATCGTCATCTACAGTAAAATTATGGCAGCATTTTTCTTCACGTTTTAAACCGTATCTTATAACGGGTGATTTTTTAAGAGCTTGATAACTTTTTTTTAAAAAAAAACGCATAAAATTTGCAAAATCTCATCGGTTCTTTATTTGAAACGTTAGATTGGTCCATGACATTTACTTTTTGAAGATAATTTCATTTAAATGTTGACCGCGGCTGCGTCTTAGGTGGTCCATTCGGAAAGTCCAATTTTGGGCAACTTTTTCGAGCATTTCGGCCGGAATAGCCCGAATTTCTTCGGAAATGTTGTCTTCCAAAGCTGGAATAGTTGCTGGCTTATTTCTGTAGACTTTAGACTTGACGTAGCCCCACAAAAAATAGTCTAAAGGCGTCAAATCGCATGATCTTGGTGGCCAACTTACCGGTCCATTTCTTGAGATGAATTGTTCTCCGAAGTTTTCCCTCAAAATGGCCATAGAATCGCGAGCTGTGTGGCATGTAGCGCCATCTTGTTGAAACCACATGTCAACCAAGTTCAGTTCTTCCATTTTTGGCAACAAAAAGTTTGTTAGCATCGAACGATAGCGATCGCCATTCACCGTAACGTTGCGTCCAACAGCATCTTTGAAAAAATACGGTCCAATGATTCCACCAGCGTACAAACCACACCAAACAGTGCATTTTTCGGGATGCATGGGCAGTTCTTGAACGGCTTCTGGTTGCTCTTCACTCCAAATGCGGCAATTT